GAATCAGTGGTCTGGCGTTTGCAAGTTAGACTCCTAAAAACACCTTTCTGCTCATGTGTAAACAAGTGTGCGCACAACCGCGGATGATTCATTTTCCACTCAAGTCGAGTCTGGGGTGTGCGATATACTGGATATCTTCTGCGATAATATGGTAAGTGTTGTTGTAATGATGTGCGATCTGACATTATCAAGTATATCGCCAATGCACGTGATTTATTAAAACTCAAAATTCAAGGCGTTCTAAATGATGGCAAAAATGCTTCTATATGCTTTTTATATTCATATAATTTAATATAGTTAACTTAATCTGTATCACACAAAGAGTACCGTTTTTCTGCAGATATCAGCATGATAACAAATTTAATAAACATTTTATACAAGTTCAGTAAAGTTGACAATAAGTGACATTTTAGACATAATATTGCTTGGTTTTGCTCAATTTTGCCAACGAAAAACAAAACATTATTTATGCATCTGTAACTGCAGTTTAAATGCATCCATGTCCCCTCTGAGCTACATTAAACTGTGTAAATACTGAATTCTATTTCAGATGCAGATTCCAGAAATGTTTTCTTATGATGGAATGAAAGGCACTAAGTACCGGATATATATATATATATATTTATTTGCTTCTTTTCAATTTAGCATTTACTTGTACTTTTACTTTCAATACTTAAGTACGCTTAAGATTTAAAAAATACTTTTCGTACTTAAGTACAATAAATATCACATACTTTAAGACTTTTACTTAAGTAATATTCTAAACGGTGACTTCAACTTCTACCAAAGTCATTTTCTGGTAAGATATCTGTACTTTTGCTTGAGTATGGCTTTCAGGTACTTAATACACCACTGGAAAAACGTAGAAACATTGGACACAACTATGGGGCACCATTGTGCAGCAGCAAGCATCACAACAAAAAAGGAACCTCAAGGTTGATCTAGGAAAATGTGTGCAAATGTACAGGGCCCCATTCCTGTATTTTGCCTGGGGCCCCAATTCACTAAATCCGCCCCTGTCTCCACTGTATATCAAAATTTTAAATAAGACAAAGATTATTGGAGAATGTTTTACAAGAAAATACTGAAAATTCTATGCTTTAAATTTACAAGCAATTTCTAAATGAAACTTGTTACTACTCCATTTTTATCCAGTGTTGGCAACTAGCTGAAATACAGTAAGTTTACGTTTTTTTTTTTAATATATTTTATTTGTTAATATTTTTTTTGTTTATTTGTTTAAATGTTTTTAATGGTTTTAGTTTTTGGTTAGTTAACAATAATAACCCTGACTCTATCTTCATTATAGTTACCATTGCCTTATGTATCCCATAGCCTACTTGTTTTACCCAACAGCTTTTACAAAAACAAAATATTGAAATCCAAGTTGGATAGACTTCATGAAAAAATACAAAACCAATGCTACAAAATATGTGTAAGTAGACTTTTAATTTAAAATCTACAGGAATACATCTTTTGTGACAACTTGCCCCGGTCTCCTCTATATGACATTTCATCATTTAATAAGTAGTTACTATCCATGGCCTGATACACGCAACGAGAACGAGAACTAAAAGACCGAAAAGCAATCACAATCCATTAAAGGCCAGAACAGGTCCCTGTGCAGATGTGCATAACATCTGTCCGGCCAGTATCTCTCTCTCCAGCAGCTTCCTCAGCATCCTCCCGTTACGCTCAACCACCGGGACATCATTATAGTCCTTCACCGATTTGTCACGGCTCTCGGGCGACAAAACAGCTCTTAAATCAAATACAGGCTTTATCATACACAGCAGCGGTGCTATGCGCGCGTTTAGCCGCGACACACGTACCCGTCTCTGACACACGTACCCGTGCAGCTCGCGTGATGCTCAGGTCTTTCATGACCTCCTCAAACGCCGCGGTCTCCTCCGCCTGCTTCTGGTTGTGCAGGGCGATTTTCTCGCTGAATTTTCGCGGATTGCTTGAGCTCGCCATCTTCCGTTGTTCTCCAAAACACAGAGCGTTGCGTGAGACGCGTTGTGCGCTGCGGCGTCATCACGGGAAGAGTTGTGGGCATTGGAGTCCAGCGACAGACCACTGGAGGAGCGCCTGATTGATCTCTCTCACACACACACACACACACACACACACACACACTAGATGAATGAAATGTCTTCATGTGTCATGTCGTGATAGAAGATACCTACTATTTATGCTTTAAAAACTATTATGATAAGAGGCGCTAATGATAAGGCTGCTAATGTAAAATATAGATATATTTGTTCAAAACAGACATTTTTATAAAAGTGTGATTAGTGTTAAAACTGAAATCTTAAACATTTTCAACTAAACTTCACTTATATAGAGATTTAATATTTTTTATTAAAATAAATAGATATTGTTATAGATTCTTTATTCATATTTCGTTATTTATCAGTTTTTTTTTTATTTGTTCATACACTTTTAGAAAAAAGGTGCAAAATCTGTCACTTGGCCAGTAACACTTTTGTATACTCAAAAAATTCTGGGTTATTTTTTCAATGCAAATGGTTGAGCTTATGGGTCCAAAATCTAAGGAACACAATGTGTATTAGCACTCTCTCTCTCTGTATATATATATATATATATATATATATATTCTGAAACCACTGCAAAAAAAGATGCTGCTCTTCAAAATTACAATTTTCCAGTGTAAATCAAAATACATTTACTTAAGAAGGAAAATGACAAGAAGACTTGTTTTCTGTGAGGCTGATCAAAATGAAGTGAATTTAAAGTGAGTTTATGATTAAAAGAATAAATATCTGCCAAAGGACTCAGAAAAAACTAATAAGACTTATAGGTTTGTACATTTATATACAAGAGATACATGGTTATTGTAAATGTAAGATCAAGAAACAAAGCTTTTTTTGTTTGTAAATCCCACAATTTCTTGTTTGTTTTACACTGCAGTAAAAATAGTCCTCAAAGGTAACAGTAGCAAGGAAAACCTCATTTTTGTAATAGTACATCAATTAAAAAATGAGAACAACATATTAGTGTGCATTTTTATTTAGACCACACTGCAACAGACAAAACACAGCAGATGGATAAAACAAGAACACAAATGTAATTTCACACATGGAAGACAAATGTGTAAACGAATTGCAAACAGTGCTACCCATACAAATACATTCAGTGTTATTTATTAACTATACCACACATTTAAAAATGTAACAAATGTATACATCAAAAATTAAAACGGGATTTGTCAAAAAACCATTGAAAATGTTTCTTTTTGTTATATAACCACATGCTACAAATTTCAGACATTCATAAATGCACTTATACAAAGAATTTTAACAAATGTATACATCAAAAATTAAAACGGGATTTGTCAAAAAAACACTGAAAATGTTTCTTTTTGTTATATAACCACATGCTACAAATTTCAGACATTCATAAATGCACTTATACAAAGAATTTTCTTGAAATCCAAAATTGACATCAATGAAAAAAAAAAAAAGTTGTAAAATCTTGTGTTGAAATCCCAAACTTAAGGAAATGGTTACATTTACATAGAACCAAACAGCTCTTTAAGTGCTTTTAACAGGCTGATTAAGGCTGATCTGTGACAGAAGTACAAGATTGAAGGCCATTTGTTCATAAGACCCAGCTGACTTACTCAAAAGTCTTAATATTTACATCATGTAAACGAGCCCTTAGCTAAGGGTGATCTATTTACATACACAAAATGTGATCGTGTTGTTGTAAAACACAAATGTTTCTAACACCTTAAAGGAAGAAAAAAACACATTAACGTAATAATAATCAAACGAGTGCACAAAAAAAAAACCCTTAGGTAGTTTCTAGAATGTAGTGTTTTTGACATTGATATTCTGATAGGAAAACATGCAAACACAATATCATTAAAAAAGGTTTGTGCCACAGTTCCATGTACATGATCCAGTCCCTCCTATACTGTATAATACTGTATATACGGTGTAAATTATGTTCAGAGAACACAATGCACCTTTTTATTTGTTTAGTTATTAAATCACTGCTCACCATGTTGAATATTTTATAAAGTGCATAATGAAATGTGCTTGCTTAGCTTGAAAAAAATTCTAAACTGTAGGTAGGTTAAAAAACATTTTTAAATATAACTGTATATGCAATGGCTACAGCAATGAGATTAAAGTCTTTCCAAGCAGAAAAAAAAAATCTCACAATGAGGTTTCCATTTTTAAATATCCCCTTAATGTTTAAAAGGACAACATTAAGTCATGAGAATTTTTTACCTCCACTGCTTCTTTGTGGTGGTTACGATTTCTGAAATAATTTCTATTACAAAACCATTCAAAAACGAGAATTTTGATAAAGGATAACTAATATCAGGTACTTGTCACAAAATAGGTTAATACAGCATCACAAAATATATTAATATTAATACACCTGCCACTAAATATTCCTAGTGGTGTATGTTGTTTTGTACAAATTATCACAAAACAAACATGGATTCGCCCGAAAAGTCCAACATATAGATCAGGCCTACTGTTTTATATGAATCTATAATCGCCAGAGCCAGCTTTACTTCTTGAGAAGATGCTTCACGGTTTCAACATGCCAATTAGGAAAACGGGTTCAATCTTTTCAACCTATAAGGAAGTGCTGGCAAAGAGGACAATGTTGTCCAAATTGTAGCTAGCGGACCAAATTCAAAATATCACAATTCAAAGTTCTGCCCCCCACTTTTCCAGAGACAATTTTTTTTCAACCAATTTATTCAACTATCCAAAATTCCAGAAAATGACAGAAATTTGGATAGTTTAGTTATAAAAATTGCTTGTGAATAGTTTGCTTTCGTGTCATTAAACCACACCAGTGAGAACAGGCCATAAATCCTGTTGTGTTGCTGGCCCATTCAAGTCTGTCATCATTGCAAATCCCACAGGCACTTGTATGAAACCCTCATTACTATGAAACGGGTCAATCTACAAGAAGGGCCAAAGACAACGTTACTGCTTGAGAAGTGTGTAGAAAGATGCTTCACATTCTCAAAAACCTAAGCCTAAAACAGCAAATGTAAGACAGTATGTGCTTAGCGTTGGGTGGTTGTTTGTGGAAATATGATACAAGCTACTCCTGCAAAAGATTCTGGAAAATGGAGATCTCTTTCACATTCATCAGTCTCTGTATGTGGAAGTTTAGGATGTATTGTGAATACATGTAAGATATTCCCAAAGATGAAGATGTGATGACATTGCCCCAGTGCTGCTGGTCCATTCAAATCTATCATCAATGCTAATCCCACAGGGACTCTCATTAGTATGAAACAACGCAATCTACATGAAGGGCCAAAGACAGCATAACTGCTTAAGAAGTGTGCAGAAAGATGCTTCACATACTCAAAAAGCTTAGTAAAGAGTGTGCTTTCATATCATTCCCTCACACCGATGTGAACAGGCCTTCAATTATGCATGCTTCAAAACTGAAGACATAACAGTCCCTTTTCAATGAGAGAAAGCCAATTATACCATTACTTTTACTGCTGTCCGGGTGGACACTAAATCTTAAGCCTAAAACAGCAAATGTAAGACGGTATGTGCTTAGCGCTGGGTAGTTGTTTGAGGAAGTATGATAGGTGTACAAGCTATTCCTGCAAAAGATCCTGGAAAATGAAGATCTCTTTCCCACTCATCTGTCTCTGTGTTATAAACTTGCACAATACTTGTGACGTTATTGAGGTGCCAGTTGTATCCTCCAACTATATAGATCTTTTTATCCAGCAGGCAGCAGTCAGCCTCTGACTGACCAGCACGCATCGGACTGACTGTTGTCCATTGATCGGTCTCTGGAACGTAGTACTCTACAGCTAGAACATCAAAGCAGTGGTCAACATGGTCCATTCTGCCTCCGAGTGCATATATACGGTTGTTTACACTGATCATAGCATGCAGGACTCTTGGCTCGTTCATGGGACACTTGAAGTCCCACTGATCCAAGGCTGGATCATAGCAATGGAGAGATTTCTTATCCTCTATAGACACCCCGTAACCTCCAGAGACGTAGAGTTTCTCTCTGCACGTCGCTCCGGCGTGACCCCAGATTCTCCTCTTCAGGGAATCCACATAATTCCATTCATTTTTCCTTGGACAATAGCACTCTACAGAGGACAAGCTGCCAGACCTGTTGCGCCCCCCAGTAGCGTAAAGTTGTCCATGCAGTACGTTGAGCTGAAACTGAATGCGGCTTTCCTGCATGGGTTGGATTCGAAGCCACTGGTTCAGATGGGGGTCATAGCGGAAGCAGACGTCAACTGCGCCCTCTCCACTGCGATACTGTAAATGCTGCCCACCCACGACGTACACAAAATTGTCAAGAACCGACACACATGCATGGCTGCATCCCATCTCCATTTCAGTCAACTCTTTGAACTGTCGTACTGTGATGTCGGGTAGATAGAAAACTTTGCCGCTGACTGTCCGATCGTTGTCGGTGTAGGGTGTTCCACCGAAAGTAATTAGCGACGTGACGTCTGAACGAATGGAAGTTCGGGGTGACTGCATTTCGTGCTGTCGGAATGGAAGGATTTGATAATTAAAGGCCTCTAGAAGAAAGTGTCGACACTGCACATCCTCCACCATGATGTCGACAGATTGGACACTGTCCACAAGTTCAGACGACCACATTAGCGGGAAGCGCACGTGGCAGAGCACTTCACTGGCCGCAGCTCGTTTGGATGCGTCATGCTGCAGCCAGCGGATTGCCACGTGGAACAAGTCGATCTCACTACAGTTCTTCAACTTGTTGCTCTGAAGGAAGAAAACCAGTCGTTCCTTTGGAATGTGAAGGAAGTCATCCTCCTGAGCTATTTGCAGGAAGTGACGGAATGTGAACGCATCGACTGACTGCTTAAGGGACGAGAGGCTGAAGGTGGTGGCCATCTGGCCGATGTTAAGACAAGTTTCAACATTCATGGCTGATTTTAGGAACTCCTCACAAAGCTCCACCACAGGCACCATCTGCAGGAAGACGGCTGCACCAAGAACATCCTGAATGCAGTCCAAGTCCAGAGTGACTTCAGAACTGTAGGCAAAATCAATAATGTGCTTCAGTCCTCTGGCTGAAAGACCTTTTAGCTCTATGGTGTTCTGGTTTGACTCCTTCATTCCTCCAGTAAACATGGCTCTGTATGGATTAAGAAGACAAGATTTTATAGCTTTATTCAAATGTGTGGCAAAAAAGAGGGGATCTCTATACTTTTAAAATAAAACTTAAAGTGCAACAGTGACCGCTCACTTTTTATATTTTGTATTTTTAGCAGCTTCAGTTTTGGAAATATTGTCCCCATTCATTTTCTATTTTAATAAAGAGTTCTAAACCTTGAACCAAAACAAAACTACAAACTTCTTCCATTTGTACATACAATCTCTGGCTGATTGAGTGCTTCTTGTTTTTAAAGGGTAATACATTTTCTGAGATGTAAACAGATAGGGACTTAACAAATAAGCAACAGCTGCTGATGGAATGGTAAAACTGTTAACTGCCATAGCCAAGGTTAAGTAAAAATCACTAAGAAACAACAGAGGATGGCAGAACAGACCATCATTTACCGAAGTTCCAAAAAAGGACAAACCTCACATCATTACCTAATCTGTTACTTAAATTCTCCCGAAGTAGTTGTTTACAGTTAGGGGTGGGCGATATGGCAAAAATATCATATAATGATTTTTCAGGAAAATCACGATTCACGATTTTAATCACGGTTCTTTGTCATGTTGGTTTTACTATTTTGCATGTTGTCTGAACAGCACAGCCAAACTAATTTCCCTATTTTAAAAACAAAACCTTACAAGGTAACAAAATATAAAATAAATAAGAATGGCAGATATTTAGGCTGAAATGGGCGCAGATAAAAATCTGTCATTGTTTTATCTTTGTTATTAAAAAACAAGAACAAAGATACACATTACAAAAGATAACTTAGTCCAGTAATCGGGTGCTGTTTGACAGGTTTTTGTAATGTGCGCACTTTAAGTATACGCACTCAGAAAAAGCGCACGTCAGATCAGAACGCAAATGAAATGTTTAACTGGCAAGGCTTTAAAGCACATGCAATTAATGTACTTTTGTGAATGTGAAAAAATGCACTGTCCCATAAGTGTAACTACCGCCGAGTTAGCATTTGATGTGAATGTATGTCACGTACAGTATATTAAGACAGAGGCGCCAGAACTGCAACTGATAAGAATGTGTGCTGTAGCACGACACTATGATATTTCTTCAAAAGTATATCGTGGAGACATTTTAATCATCCACGATCAAAAATCGTGATATTGCACACCCCTATTTACAGTACAACATCACAAAGTAGCAATTAAAATGTTCTTTTTTTCTTTCAAACTCACTCAGAAACACGTGCTTTGTTGATAGGAGATGCGTGGCAAATGCAAACAATGTGTTCTAAAATTAATATTATAAAATGGATAGTCCCTGTCCTTGATTAAGACTGGCTGAGCTGTGTTCAAAGCCATTGTAAATTATTCCATAAACATACATCTTTGACCTCATTACATCAGTATTCCTGAGCCACAGTGTCTGTGTTGCAGTGGTTCCATGTATTATGTATTTCAGCAAAATTAACTGCTGCAACTCATGTTTGAGATCCAACTATGGCAAGAGCATACGCATAAAACCGCTGCAAGTGCTATCTTTCCATGTTGACGTTCGCTTCTCGCGATCTTTGCACTTACACAGCTCGGTTGGATTTAAAACTGCTCACTTTCTGTGTCTTCATGAGGATATTTTTCCAGATCAGCCTCCGCCAGATGTGACAGCCTTTTTATTCAACCTAGGTTAGTTGTGTTCACATCCTGAGCCCCCCACACTCTCTCTTGTCTTCAGGCTGCCCACCTTTTTTCATTATCTCACCTGCTCGCTGTGTTTTTTTTCCACAGTTTTTCGTCGGTATGTCACTCTCTAAAACTGCTGCTTCTCCTTTTGATGGCTTATCAAGAGCCTGTCCTGCCGCTTGTGGTGCGTTGATCGCCGCTAAAGACCCTCACCTGTTCAGTGTGGCCTGCTTGCGCCTCAAGCACACTGAAGAGGCTTTGAAGAACCCGGAGAATTACAGCCATTGCCTTATGTTGCCTAAGAGGCTCCGGTGGCGCCATCATGAGGTTGCCGCGACCAATCCTGCATTCCCTGAAGAGGATATCTTCACAGGCAACCTCCCGTTCGCCAACGAGCCAGCCGGTTCCGGCGATGATGACGACGCAGGCCTTCTCGGGGTCTCAGAGGACTAGGAGGCAATCCCGTCCTCTGCCGTTCCCCAGGCTAATGCCCCTGCGGCCTTACCCCAGCCCATCCTCCTGGACGTGTGTGAATGAGCGGCCACTCGCCTCAACATTGAGTGGCCGGCTCCACAAAGCGCCAATGACCAGGAGAGGGATATTTATGATGAGAAGCTGCTAGGACCCCCTCCCGGCCCGAGGAAACAACTCTTCCCCATCCCCCCAGTGTGTGCGAAGCACATGAAACATTACTGGGGCGATCCACTCAACCTCAAACACGGTCTTGCGGGCCTCGAGGTAAAAGATATGGCAGCTCTCGGCATGGGTGATAACCTCGCTATAAAGCCATCGATCACCAGGCACCTTAGCCCCCCCTCCCCCCCATAGCCAGTCTTGCCAAACAAAATGAACCAATTTTCTGCTTCTGTTCACCAGGCCACCTACAAGTCCTCTGCCTTGGCTTTCAGGCCACTCAACGTCTCCTCCCTCCTCTCCACTTACTAGGCGGAGCTTTTGAATGATTTAGGACAACAGCTGGACAAGGGATCGCCTTCACCCACCCTGTGGATAGAGATCCTCACTGGCTCTTCCAAGCTGTATAATGGCAGTGAATGGTGCCCCTGTTTTTGAAGCTCAAAAAAGTGCATTCATCCATCATAAAACTACTCCACACGGCTCTGAGGTGTTAATAAAGGCCTTCTGAAGCAAAACGATGCGTTAGTGTAAGAAAAATTATTATTATTTTTTTTTAATTTATAAACTGTAATCTCCAGCTTCCGGTCACTCAAGCAGGTGCGTTCACGACAATGCGTTCGAGTGTATGACGTAGGCGTAGCAGAAGGCGCAATGTAAGCCCCGGGGAGGGACTTACATTTAAATACGAAATGTCGTATTTATTTATTTTTCTCTGCGACACTTTTCCTACTGTGCAGGGGGGTGTCTACGTGGTGGCCAGGGGTGGCACCAGCCCCCCCTGAAATTTGGCTGGCCACCCCAGGTGCCCCCCCTACCAGATGTCTTGCGAAAGGCTTGTTTTTATTAAATTTATAACTGCATCTGGCAGTGGCGCATCCTGGCATGTGTAGGCAGCTGCCTAGGACCGCTTTCTTCTCCTTTATACCTAATTTTAGGCGGCATCTATAGCGCGATTTTAATGACAATGTCGAGAGCGCATAATGTGACGTGATCCATATAGGCCTAATGCACGAGCACGAATCTCCACTCGCAAGCAGATTTCCTTCACTCACACAAAACTGGACGTGTCCTTTTAAATATGCATTGTTCTTTTATGAATTGGTCATAAATATAGTCAGCCTTTTCTAGTTATTTATTTTATTAATACTTATTTTAGTTAAGTGCTTAAATTGTAAATATGCATTTATTAAATTATTTTATTTAGTGCATTTGTATTTTGTTGTTTTTGTATATAGTTATACAACAAAAGTGTATCAACGAGGTTCCAGAAATAATCACTGAGGGTGCTTCTGAAATTAGTGAGGGTGCTCTAGTCTTAATGAACTTTTTCACATATCTTGTCCCGTCTATTGCTATGGTTATCACCATGTCAAACACTGCTACTTCGAGAGCGAATCCCGCATAAATATGCAGATGTCATTCCCGAAACTTTGCAACGTGTGAGTGTGGCCAAAAACCGTTCTATATTTTAAATTGATTGCCTAGAAAGCTCGCAAAGAGCACTCATAACCACTAAAAAGCTGTCACTCTGTTCATCGCAAACGAAACTTTGCAAAGTGTGTGTGGCCAAAAAACGTTCTACATTTTAAATTGATTGCCTAGAAAGCTTGCAAAGAGCGCTCATAACCACTAAAAAGCTGTCACTCTTTGTTCATCGCGATCTCACAAAGTTCTGTTACCAATGAATCTCACACTGCGCAATTAATATATTATTAACATCGTGTATAGATAGCTATATAATCTATATAATAGCTAATAGGCTATTTTTGTACAACCTGCATTTTTATTTTTTTTCTCTCTGTGACACTTTTTCCCTATTGTGTTGTCAATTGTAATTGTATCCTGACAAGATGAATAAAAAGAAATACAATTTTTGTACAACATTTTTATTTTCTCTGACACTTCTACTGTGTTGCATAAAATATTAAACAAATTTTGTGTCTTAAGATAATTCATATAAATTCAAGTCAAAGTCAATAAATTCAAGACTCTTGACAAGACAAATAAAATAACACAATTTTGTGCAGACTACACTTTTATTTGTCAGCCTATCTCTCTTTCTTTCAGTAGCGGAAATTTAAATGTGAGATTCTGGAAACGAGATCTAAATTTAGCGGGAACGGTTGGGTCGGGAAGAAAATTATTCTAAGCGGGCAGTGGGTGAACAAAGAGTGAATATATAGCGGGAGCGGGTGGGTGCGGAATAGAACCTTGCGGGAGCGGGACTAAAAAAAACAGTCCCACGCAGACCTCTAGTCCAGAGCTAGTCCATTGGCTCTGGATTGGTCTACCACGTACAGCGCGTGTCGGAAACGAAACACCCATTGCCATGACGGAATGACAGCCCTGGAGACTTGTCAATACATAGAAAAGATGGTATCGATTGTACCTTACCAATTTGAGCCGGAGTCTGATGATGAAACGGTTGAAGTGGCTGATCGACAAGAGACTGATTCGCAAGCACGACTGGAGCAGGACATTTCTCAGTGGAAAGTATCAAGTGTTGACAAGTTTGGTAATTATAAGATGTGATAAAACAAATTTACTCTCACAGCGTAGTATACAACGTCTTCTCGACATGATGGTAACCACACAGAAATTTTATTGTGTTTGTGGGCAGGCAAGTTTGGCGACTTAAAGCAGCACTATGTAACTTTTGGCGCTCTAGCGGTTAATAAACAGAACTGCACACATCCCGCGGAAGAACATTCCAACTGGAGCTACTTCTCTAAGTTTATGTCTATGGCGATTCACGCAGGTATGTGTTACTCCGCAGCGGTTCGATGTGTACCGGGGTATTTCTGTTTTTCATTAAGCGCCATCTAATGTCAGGGAGTGAATTTGCACATTCACTCGGCTCATCGCCAGCGAAAATCGCTTGGGTATGAACACAAAAGACGCATCGAAAAACATCGGCGATAATCCCGGTGTGCACAAGGCTTGAATCTCATTTTGTTATAAAAAATCGTGAATCAAATCGTTTGCGCATGTTTTGCGCAGCTTGTCGGTGAACAATGGCTCTGTGTAGTTAATGCTGCTCCATGTGAAAGCCCGCATGTGATGGAGATGTACCGCTGATTACAAGAATGGCTTTACTGACAAGATGCGCATTAAATATCGCATGCTATTTATCGTGCAGCCCTAACATATATATATATATATGCCTCCAGCATTATGTGTGTTGTCAAGTTTTGTATGCATGTTACCGCATGTCATTGCTTATGGCTGGTATTGCATTCTCACTTTGTGCGGGGTCTGATACTTAGTAACGTGTCAAGCACCGCCTTCCAGGTGACTGTTCTCTGGTGTACAGGGCCTCATTGGGGAGCTGTCCATATCTCCCATAGGTGGATCTCAAACACAAGATGAAGTAACCCTGTTCGTAACCCCGGTTCTCTGAAACATCGAGTGGAGAAATCCACCAAGTTTGCCCCGCTTGCTGCATGAGAAGCAAATATTCTGACTAAGGAAAGGTAGCGCGAGCAGGGGTTTTATGCACTCGGTTAAGGGGCAGTCTCTTACCTACCATTAGACACACGCTCCTGTCTGTCAAGCCAGACTTGGTGCAATTGGATGCTTCTGCAGAGGTCAGGCACGGATGCCCTTCCCATAGGGTTACGAACAGTAACCTATTGTTAACTGTCAGGGACTATTTTTTTTAGTGGAAGGATGGCATTTAATGATTTAACTTAATAAAAAGTAACATAATACATCAATTTTGCCTTTAATATATGTATTGTGCGGTAACCATTTTATAAAAGCAATAAGTCCTGTGAAGCTGTGGTTTACAGTGAATTTAGAACAGGTAAGGAGGTTTTAGGCACTCCGCTTCACGTTATGCCTAACAATGCCCTTTAACTGTACAAAATTTACCGTAAACCATGGCTTCACGGGGCTTGTTGCTTTATCAAACATGTTTGATCTCCTCTGACTGGATTAAATTATAGACTGAAGCTAAAAAATTGGAGTCTGTGACCATCATACACTGCAGTACGAGATTTCCTACGAATAATGTTCATTTGAACTAAGAACAAGGATTAACTTTGTAACTTATTTTATTAATCTCGCCATTTACAACTGGCTGGTGTTAACAAACAGTGTAATGTCTCACCTGAAGTAGTCACTGCAGGAGGCCAAAACTGCTTTGTGAACCTCAAAGCGCTCGTTGTCAATGACCAGAACCACATCCAGCAACTGACCTTGATCGCGTAACACAGACAGTCCCCTCAGGAGAGTGTTGCTGTGGCTGGGGGCCGAGAAAGTACAACGGAGCGTGCTGTTCTTGTTGTTAGCCATGCTGGAAGAAAGAGAGAATCAGTTTACAAGGAATTGTATCTCTCACCACTCCCTGATCATTGTCTCTGGCTACACAGTCAACAGAAATTCACAAGTAGCTTGATGAGTCTGCTGTATCCTGATGCTCCATCAATAGGTCTTGGTTGATAAACTGGCGCATCAACATGATCCCTGTAATGGCACCTACTTTTAAATTATTCAACTGAATTGATAAAGAACCTATTTGGATATAGAACCCATAAGCCTCACAAGTACCAAGCAACAAGTGACCCAAACAATTACCAATGTCAAATGGTTCTTATGATGACAGTGCATATGTTAAAAGTTAAACAAAAGAAAGTTAAATACCTGTATTGTAATTGATCCTAACCCTCACATTCTTTTGAGAAAGACTATATATACTTCAATGTTTGGGGTCCTAGATGATATATATATATACATATATATATATATATATATATATATATATATATATATTAGGTTAATATAATATATATATATATATATATATACACACACACACACATATAATGGTATGTTTATAGCCAAATAATAATAAATAATACATTTTGGGATGGAAAAACATGAATCTGCTTACAGCCTAATGTGATTATTAAACTTAAAATGCGATGATTTCTATAAATAAACGTGAGCAATGTTCAAAGTCAAAACGCAGTGCTGTTGCGCATTCAATGGGCTCACAGGTTCAGAGCATTTATGCCAATAGATTGTCAAAATTAATCATCAGTAGATCCTAAGCAATGTTTACTTTATGGTCTTTATACTGTACTAAATTGTAGATGGATGTAAGAGTGCTTATTTAATCTCCCACTAGGGGTGTGCCATATCATACCGTCCACGATAATACCGGTATCAATTTTTACATGATAAAAAAAGTGTCATATCGCGATATCAATGATATAGCAACACGATGATGTATGGTGGATATACGTTCCCTAGCGCGCACAACAACAACACCACAAACCCAAAGACAGAAGCTGCGATTGTCATGCGTATCTTTCAGTGAAGCATGGTTCTGTGATCAGCAGTAAATCTCCATCCAAAGGCCAGAGGGCACTCTCGCGCTGAAACTCCAAATACACCTCGCAGAAGAAACCCAGGAAATGCAGCAGACTTAAACAGGTAGCGCAGCTGTGACCGGACACAAAAATGGCAGCGATAAAACACAGTGATGTCACATGGTACTTATGGATAGCGGTAGCTGGATAAACAGAAGATTTAACTGCTTTTATTGATTCAACGTGACTAATAAACACACGACTACGACAATATATGGTTTATCTGAGTTCTTTTTCTTATAATTGTCATTAAAATAAAGTATATTTATAATGCAATGCCTTTATCACTATTTAGAATACTATGAAATATGTTGTGTGCCTTATTCTGTTTAAGAAGCCGCATCATCTCACAGAAGGATTTATTTCAAACACTCGACTGACATTATGAAGTGAGTTTGGAGTAAAATCATGTTATTAAATGTCGTATTTCACATGCTTTTAGATGGAACAGCATTTACTACACAGAGCCGTAGTTCACTGAGAAGCTACACAAACAGCTGTCATTATCGCAAACGATTTCTTCGATTTCATAATCACGCGATTAAGTCGTCTGCGATTATGAACGTGATTTTGCGTAGCTTGTCAGTGAACTACGGCTCTGTGTAGTAAATGCTGCTCCATCTGAAAGCATGTGAAAATATCACATTTAATAACATATAACAACAACGCCAGTCGAGTGTTTGAAATAAATCCTTCTGTGAGATGATGTGGCTTCTTACACAGAATAAGGCGACATATTTCATAGTATTTAAGTGGAGAAGTCGTGGCCTAATGGTTAGAGAGTCGGACTCGTAACCCAAAGGTTGCGGGTTCGAGTCTCGTACCGGCA